TCGGCTGGACCTACTGCAGTCTTTCCGGATTGAAGTAGAATTTTATTTTTCCGTCAGACGAACCAAACCTTGATTGAAACAATCGTACAACCCGACTCAGAACGAAGAGGCAAGGGTTCACTTGACTTATTTGTCGGTCCAGAGCATTCGCAACACCATACTACAGGCCAAACATTGATTTCTCTGGCACAACCTTTCAGAGCATAACTTAAACCTCAGATCAAATAAAACGAATCAGAAACCCAACACAGCAGAACAAATCCGGTACATGAAAACGAAAAACAATTCGGGTGTACGAAATCAACCGAGTATCGTCACCGCACGATACCGGACTTTCGTACCCGGACAGCATTGTACCAATGGCGGAGCAAAAAACTAGATATTACGACCGCTGAAAGCCCTGATAACGTTCGCATTAAACCCTTATTTACCTTCCTAAATACACACATCAAGAAACATAACAGATATTACCGATGAAAACCTATACCACCTACCCTAAACCCTAAACCCTAAACCCTAAACCCTAAACCCTAAACCCTAAACCCTAAACCCTAAACCCTAAACCCTAAACCCTAAACCCTAAACCCTAAACCCTAACCCCTAAACCCTAAACCCTAAACCCTAAACCCTAAACCCTAAACCCTAAACCCTAAACCCTAAACCCTAAACCCTAAACCCTAAACCCTAAACCCTAAACCCTAAGCCCTAAACCCTAAAACCTAAACCCTAAACCCTAAACCCTAAACCCTAAACCCTTAACCCTTAACCCTTAACCCTTAACCCTTAAACCCTAAACCCTAAACCCTAAACCCTAAACCCTAAACTCATTTTAGATTTTCTAATTTGGCTATGATAATTAAATTTTTAAATCTTTTTGGGAAGATTTTGTTTGCCATTTCTCTTTGTAAATTGATTTGCAAGTTGTTTGGTTGCTGGAAGGGGACGTTTTACTTGGTTAAATGGAAGTGCCAGGTTTTACTTTGAGCTGATTTAGTTGGCTGGGAGGGGACGGGTTGCTGGAGGGGCTCGGGTTGTGTGATGCTGCAGTGGGTTTTGTTGGCTGAAATTTCTTTGTTATGTTGGTTTAGTTTCTCGGCTTCTATCTTGCCTATGTCAATTTACTTTGAAATCTTTGGTATTCATTTTTTCCTTTTTAGATTTTTCTAATCCTAAGCCAAAATTTTTTAATACTTGCATAATTTTTATCAAAAACTTGTGTAATTGTTACTTAATTGGCTTTGAGTTTTTTCATCCAGATTTGATGATATTGGAGACTTTTATCAAAGATGATGGCTCGAGAACTTATTTTTGGAGAAATTACAAAGGAAATTGAAGATTTCAATTATGGGAGGAGATGGCTGAATTGTTTTTAACATATTAAGACTTTTAAGATTGCACTTATGATGGCTTTAAATGATTTTAATTTCTTTGTTTCTCTATGTATCTAGAAAGAGACTTAGGGCTCATTAGATTCTTACTTTATTTTGTAATTTTCTTTTCTTTTTTGTATTTTCTTTTTCTTTTAGTTGAGCCTCTAGTCTCTTTTAAGGACTGTCTCTTCAATGACTTTTTGTAGTCGCTTATTTTAAATAAACGCGTAAGCCCCTATAGGGGGTTTTTAAAAATAAAAAAAAAAAACCTAAACCCTAAAGCCTAACACCCTAAACCATAAACCCTAAACCTTAAACCCTAAACCCTAAAACCCTAAAACGCAAAACCCTAAACCCTAAACCCTTAACCCTAAACCCCTAAACCCTAAACCCTAAACCCTAAACCCTAAACCCTAAATGACAAAGGTAATTTAATTGTGGCTTTTTCTTCTCCTCTTAATAACTATTCATTTTTATTTGCTGAACTCATAGCTATTTACAAAGCCCTTCAAATTTGCTTATCTTCTAGATATTTTAAAATCTGGATAGAAGTTGATGCTAAGTTAGTTATAAACTATATTTCTACTAATCAAATTGGCAATTTTGATATGTTTTACATTTTAAAAGACATAAAAAAAAGCCCTATCATCTTGACTATAAAATATCTCATATTTGGAGAGAAGGAAATTCGGCAGCTGATTTTTTAGCTAAAATTAGAGCCAATTAGCATTAGTTTACTTTATTTCATCATCATAATATACCCTTTTTATTAAGGGGTATAATTTATCTTGATAAATGCGGTTTACCATATATCTGTTTTTAATATATGGCTTGTTTTTTTCTTTTTGGCTATGATGTTTAGATTAATCAATTTGTTATGAAAGTTTATTTTGCCTTCTCTCTTTGTAAATTCTGGTTGGTATAACTAGTTGGTGGGTTTATTAGTTGACTTGTTTTGGTTCTGTATCAATTCTCTTATAGCTGTTGGTTTATGATATTGTGTTATTTGGCTGTTTGGTTGACTGTTGTATTGGTTGAATATCTGGTTAGGTTGTTGGTTTGATTATTTTTCAAGCCTTTTTTTGAGATCTTTGGTATTTTACTTCTTCCATAATAGATTTTTTTTAGATTTATTAATTTGTTATGGAAGTTTACTTTGCCATTTCTCTTTGAAAATTTTGGTTGGTATGGCTGGTTAGTGGGTTCCTTTGCTGTTATGCTGAGCTTTTGTCCAAATTTTTACTATTGCTAGAGGGGGTTTGCCGTCGGTTTATATATATGGATGGTTGGTATTAGTTTTGTGGGTGATTTGGGTGATTTGCTGGTTTTATTTTTTGTTGGTTCTCTTGGTATACTAACCAGTTTTTCTTTGAGAAAATTAGTATTTTAATTCTTCTATAATATATTTATTGATCCTCAGCCTTTAAGATTTTATATTTATCTATTTTTTTATCATTATTATTATCATTTGATATTTAACTTTTATGTTTGTAAGGTTTTTTCAGATATCAAAAAATATTTTCTCAAATTAATTCATATTGCACTTGGAGATAAGATTATGCTAAGATTGAAGAATTAAAGTGTTGGAGATGGGTGTTATACTATAATTTGCTTCAGCTTTTAAAGATTCATGAAGTTTTGTAGCTCACTTGGGATTCTAGGAGTCTTATTGTTTTACTTCATGTATTGTGTCTAGTTAGAGATTGATGGCTTATTAGATTTTATTTTCATTATTAAAGTATTTTATTTTCTTTTTAGTTGAGCCTTTAGTCTCTTCAATGACTTTTTGTAGTCGCTTATTTTAAATAAACGCGTAAGCCCCTATAGGGGGTTTTTAAAAATAAAAAAAAAAAACCTAAACCCTAAAGCCTAACACCCTAAACCATAAACCCTAAACCTTAAACCCTAAACCCTAAAACCCTAAAACGCAAAACCCTAAACCCAAAACCCTTAACCCTAAACCTTAAACCCTAAACCCCTAAACCCTAAACCCTAAGCCCCAACCCCTAACCCCTAAACCCTAAACCCTAAACCTTAAATCCTAAGACCTAAACCAGAAACCCGAAACCTGAAACCCTAAACCCTAAAAACCCTAAATCCTAAACTCTAATCCCTAAACCCTAAACCATAAACCCTAAAACATAAACCCTAAAAACCCTAAACTCTAAACCCTAAAAAACCTAAACTCTAAACCCTAAACCCTAAACCTTAAACCCTAAATACACTAAACACTAAACCCTAAACCCTAAAACCCTACACCCGAAACCCTAAACCCTAAATCCTAAACCCTAAAACCTAAATTATATCCTAAACCATAAAAATCCTGAAACCCTAAAAAACCCTAAACCCACCTTAAACCTGAAACCCTAAACCCTAAAACCCTAAACCATAAAACCTAAAATCCTAAACCATAAACCCTAAAACCATAAACCCTAAACCCTAAATTCTAAATCCTAAACATTGAACTCTGAATCCTTAACCCTAAACCCTAATCCTTAATGCCTGAACCCTAAGTAGGATTTCGTAAATCCTCTAAATCCGGATTTACGAAATCATAGGGGGGTTAAATCCTGAAAACTATTTGGTAACATTCATGATAAATACAGTTAAATCCTGTGTAACTGTTTGGCTGTTCAATTCAGGATTTAAGACGGTTAAAAGATTTAACATTCATTTCTTCAATAATTAAAGTAGAACAAGCAAAGTTTAAATAAAATACAATAAAGTTTCATTTGAAATACAACAATAACATAAAGTAAATTACAAATAAATTAAAGTTAATTCCATCTTCAATGTTTTCAAAATTGCAGGTTATCCGACTAAACAACTTCGCTGGCTTGCTACCTGCAAATGAAGTTGTTTGTTAGGAGTTTAAATTATGAATATTCTAAAGAATATAAGCTTAATACCAGAAAGACTTATCCGTGCATCCCATATATTTGTTGCAATTAAATGTCTTAAACCATCACCCAGTACTCTTTCTCCAACACTTGCATACAAATTCGGGTCTTCATCAATAGCTTGAACCTCCCTCTAGCAAATGAAATATCACAACACAAATAATATAGGCCTCTGTGAACAACTGTCGATAATCATGAAACGGGTAAAAAATGACAACATGCAAATAGGAGAAAATATCAAACAAATATTAGCCTAAACCGTGGATATGCTACCATAAAAATTTGATATTAGATTAAGGAATCATACCTACTGCCGATTCATGTCGCTGGTTTCCTCTAGGGTGACTGCTTGTGCTGGATGTGCGAATGCAAGCAACCGAACATTTGGTTTATAATAGCGAGAGGTAGAGACAGGGAGTATGGGCGACCATGCACACTGAGCTTGTTCTGAAGAGGAGCGAGTGAAGAGATAAGAAAAACAACTGGAATCGTTCGGACTTCGTTCTAACTTCTTCCTCTCCCGCGAATAACAAGTTAAATCCGCCGAATCGATGGATTTGCGAAACCCGAGATTCACCGCAAGAAGCGCTCTTTTTTCGTCAAGAGCAGATTCCATTTACCGTGAGATTTGAATTTGCATTTTAGGACATTTGACTGGATTTCGTCCAAATCCGACCTTAAATCCGACTAAATCCTCGTACCAAACAGCCCCTACAAATCTTATAAACCCTAAACCCTAAAACCAATAAAGATCGCGCGGTAGAAAATAGTAGACCTATCAGACACTGCCTGATGGCAGTCGCGACTTGGGCACGCGCTACTGCGCCAGGCGGGCTCGACCGCTCGAGGCAGCGCCGCAGCGGTCCAGCGGATGCTGAGCAGCGGACGCGGGCAGCGGGCAGGGCGGGCTAGGGCAGTGGGCAGCTCAGGCTGGGGCAGCGGGCAAGGGCGGGAATCAAAATTTTTTAAAATAAACGGGTTTTCGGGTAAACCCGGCAACCCGTCGGGTCAACCCGAACCCGACCCGTTTTTGCAAATGGGTCGGTTTCCTGGACCCGAACCCGACCCGCTTCGGGTTCGGGTCAACCCAAATCCGAAAATTCCGGATCGGATTCGAGTCGGGTTTTCGGGTCGGATCAAATATTGACAGGTCTAGAAAATAGTCGGGCAGGGTCAAGGGGGTTGTAGAATTATAGACGTTGCTGCAAGAAATAAATAATTTATTATACCAAATAATTTCTTCCCATTTCGACCGCTGCTGCAACACATTGGCCGGAGTAATGTGGCGAGTCGGGGCGAAGCTGGTTGTTGGGGCAACGCTCCTCGGCGGGGGAGCCGCGGGCGTCAACATCTTCACCTCGGACGATATCTCGACGGCCTTCAACATCTGTACCCTAGTTCCCGTACGCCTCCTGCGTGATTCTCTCACAGCCGCTACCATTGCCTTTGGTTTGTTCACAAAAACCTTCGCCATATCGCCCTATCTCCTTCATTACTCAATTCAGTTATTATGGTTCTCCGGGTTTGCTTCTGCAGTTGTGCTCCCTCTTTAACTTATTCTATGTCACTATCCATTTATTTGTTAAGATGTATTGATTATGCCCCCACACCGCACTTGTTCTACCTAATTTGATCAAACCTATGTTTAATTTTTGTTTTTGTGGCTTTTTTTTTCTTTCTTTTATCCTTCATACGTATCTGTTTTACTGATCTAAACTATTGAACGTTACGGAAGATGCTAAGTTGATGCGATGCCACATACTTGGAAAGATTGAAGTCCATCTTTATATCCACATGCCATTTTCTTTTTTTCCTTCCACTCGCATTATGCCCTGTAGGATTTCTCGTTAGAATGGGACATCAGTGGCTTTTTTTCTGCTATGTTATGGAATTTTCAATGATATTTTAAGTCACAAGGAATTGCACTTGTCCATTTATTTGACAGGAGCACCTTTCTAATATCTATTGGTATTCAGAATCATAAATGAAAATAATCCAAATTAACATTTAGAATCATAGAAATTAAAACAACAAATTTTCTTGAAGAATTCCGAAACTGGCAATTGGAAGAGAAAGAATTTTTCAAAGCAGCATCTTAAACTTTATTTGGGTTAACAAATTTTGGGAAGAACCAAGTGTTGTAGATGAAATTAGCTTTGTAGAAGTGATGTAGGAAGGGG